CCCTCTCTCTCCCTCTCTCTCCCTCTCTCTCCCTCCCTCCCTCCCTCCTAATACTATGTACATGTACATATGTAGATATCATTCTAAATAATATTTCTATTTCTGCACTATCAGTCAATCTATCTTTTGCAAATGTAGATACAAGTCATGTCACACAAGTCAGATAGACAAGTATTTTGACTTGATTTGAGTAAAAAACATTACAGACAGGCCTAATGATACTACTTAAACGCTGTAGTAAAGAAAGATTGCATCAAAATGTGTAACATGATTTGCCCTTAGGCCGCTCAAGCACGCAAACCCTAACTTTTGAGAAAGATGGAATAAATAACTTGTAAGGAGATCCCATCTTTGCATGTGTTTGGCATATGGTGCAGAATGAACTCGAGGACTTTAAATTTAAACTATATGGTGTTCAAAAGGCAAAAAGAGAAGTTAAAGGTCAGGGAAAGCTCTATGGACTCTCCTGTGATGGTTACATTGCAGAGTTTGAGGAAGGAAAAAACCTCAACATTTGCTTAAATCAATTGTGACCTTCCTGCCTATTGTCTATTTTATTGGCTGTTCTAGATGAGTTTTCTGAAGGAAAACCTAAATTTATATTTTATGAAGACTAAATCATCATTAAACATTATAAATTATTATTTCTAGTTATTTTTGTACATGTATTTTAAATAAAGATACAAACTGGATATGTGTATGTACATATATATTTTTTCTAATAGAATTAGCAAGTCACTTTATTCACTATTACCATGTTAATATGAAAAAAATCCCCAAACCTAGAAAATACAAGGGCATGTTGTATATGCTTCAGAAAGCAAACTGTTAGAGTTAACAAAACTGTTAAATCTTACTAATGATTCTATCACCAGTAAAATACATTAGCACCAATAATTTTATTAAAGTAGGTCATTCATCTAGAATAAAAAGGGAGAAGAATGTGAATTAAATGCCAAGTGTGCTAAGTCGCCTGCTCTAACTTGTTAACACCGAATGCGATGCCCCGTAGGCCTTCCTGCGTATCGTTAGGAATAGATTACCTGTCAGGAATATGTATGGCATATTCAAATAAGCACTGCGCATATTTTTAAAACTGATATGATATGAATCCATGTAGACCAATTTTAATAGTTCAAAATGAGTCATAATTCTTGTTAACAATACAGTTATTTTTAAAATTTGCAGCAATAGCGGTCCTTTTTTATTTTCCTTATTGAAATTAAATGATATGCCTTAGGTGACTCATTCATCACTGTTAAGGAACTTACCTTCTATTGGAGTTCTTGAATTTTTATCCACATGTTATGCATTCTCTCCAGCTCAGGAATGTTTTTTCTACATATGAATTCCTAAGTATGCTTTTGACTTTCATTTTAGAACTAATTTTTATTGCAATTATAGCTTGAAATAAGTGTTTTTGTTGACTCAACCCTACATAGTTATTTAAATTCATGGATATGTACAGATCACAAGAACTATTTTGCATCTAAACACTCACAGTGTCAGTTGTCCGTTCCTTTACCTTGTTACATCCTTTTTCAGATTAACCTAAGTGATCAGAGATTTAACTTTAAACATTCTTCTTTTTGTAAAATGTATGCATGTACTTTTCAAAATAGAAGTAGCATAAAGAGCAGAATTGACTTAGTGTTTAAGGAGGCATATTTGGAATCACACAATACAACAAGTAATCTGATTGTTTTATAAGCCAAGGAGAACATAATTTATATTGATTGAAAATGATAATACGTAGGAGCATACAAAAGGATTAAAATAAAAATTGCTCTCGATCAGTTTTATTTTGTCAGTTATTTTAATGTGGGATACTCAGAAGTAATTATATATATTCTTGTTACAAAAATAGCTTAATGTTTATTTTATTCTCTCCATAATTATTAAAGTATAATTAAAAAATAAAAATTGTGTATATTGGCAGTGTACAACACAATTTGTATATATATGTATAAATGATTAATGAAAGATCATCATATTTGTCATCTCATACACTTATTTTTAACAATAAAATCTCATCAGTTTTCAAGTATACAATGCATCATTTTCACCTACAGTCACCATGTGGTATAATGGGTCTCTGAAACTTACTTATCCTGTCTAACTGAAACTTTTCTTAGCCAGCTTAACATTTTATTAAATATTTTTAAGGAATTCTGATTTTTAGGAAAATAACAAACAAGATAATCTACAATTCTACACTTCTAAATGAACACAGTTTGTTAAAATAATCTTAATATTTGTGAAAAAGGGAAAGAACCACTGGGTGTGTAACAGGAACAATATTTGCATTATACATTTTTTGTGTTAAGTAACAAATAATTCAGTTTGTTGGGGCACATTGCACAGAGTTGGGAATGAAAGCTAAACTGAGTGTTGCCCAGGAGTTTGAGTGGAGGATCCACGTGCGGTGGTGTTGCCCATGAGAAAATACTCGGTATTTTGTGGCTGCATTAAATGTCTGCAGTGTCATTGTGTGTGCTTCAGCTATTTGGAGTGGAAATATTTTCCCATTCTCACCTTTTTAACTGTCCTTTATTTTCAGGGCTTAAATGTGATCAGTGCAGTTTTGGATTCAAATTTCTCCGAAGTTTCAATGATGATGGATGTGGGCCCTGCCAGTGCAACCTGCACGGCTCAGTGAACAAAGCCTGTGACCCTTTCTCCGGCCAGTGTGACTGTAAGGATGAAGCCAGAGGCCTGCAGTGTGACACATGCAGAGAAAACTTCTATGGGTTGGATGCTACCGGCTGCAAAGCCTGTGAGTGTGACGCCGCTGGCTCGGTCCCTGGGACCGTCTGCGACGCTGAGACAGGGCAGTGCGTCTGCAAGCCCAGCATTGGAGGCAGGCAGTGCGAGGACTGTTTGGAGGGCTCCTTCTACCTAGCGCAGAATGATTCGTTCCTCTGTCTGCCCTGTGACTGTGACACGTCTGGGACAGTAAATGGCTCTCTGGTGTGTGACAAAGCGACAGGCCAGTGTCCTTGCAAACCAGGGGTGACGGGTCTGCCCTGCAATCAGTGTGAGCCTCACAGGTACAATTTGACCACAGGCAGCTTTCAGGGCTGCCGGACGTGTGATTGTGACTCCCTGGGGACGTTCCCTGGGACCACGTGTGACCCAGTCAGTGGCCAGTGCTGGTGTTTGCCTAACCGTCGAGGAAGAACGTGTAATCATTGTCAGCCAGGTAAGAGACACCCGTGTTACATTCTCAGGGCAGAAGATGTTCTTTCGTTTCCTTGTAACAGTTGACATCTGGGTTTCTGTTTTGGAGATTCTAAAGATTTATCTACATCACGCAACATAGATAAAAGTATTTCACTTATTCAAGATTTGTGTCACAATTCTGAGGGGAGAGGCACTGTAGATGACTCTCAGTCTTCAGACTTATAGTTCAGAAGTCCTCAACTTGAAGTAGATCTTCTTTTAACAACTGAAAAAAATTGATTGAGAAAATCGAGAATAAATTTTATTTTCCCGGCGAAGGGGGGGGGGGGATGAGTTAATTATCTATGCATGGCAAGGAATCCAGCATAGGAGAATTGAGCTGTAGCTTTCATTTGAAATTGGTCAATGTGGCTAGTGCATCCAAAGAGACAGGAAGGAAACAATAACTAGCTAATTCTTTTTTGTGATATAAGCTTCAGAAACCAACATTAATGTGGAATATATGGTACGTGATGCCCCACAAAGCACAAGGCTATGGAGCAGTGGAGTGGGAACTTAGAAAGCTCCTACTGATACATGGCCATTCATGTTCACAGTCTCTCTCTCTCTCTCTCTCTCTGCAGAAGGGTACATGCCTCCCCTCTTCCTATTCATGGTAATGTGACCACTCCATGACCCTGGTACTGCTTGTAATTCTACTTCCCACTACTCACAGAGGCTTCCTTGCTGCCTTTTGGCTATAATTCCAAGAGGAAAATTCTAACTGACTTAGTTTTCTTTGAGTGGGTACCTCTGAGCCAAGGGTGTCAGAGTCCATCAAATGGACCTGTCTTCTAGGAAGCAAACCTTTGATGTAGGACCAAGGTGATAAATATCTCAGAAAACAGGAAAATTATTGGGAGCCGGGCAGACAGTATCAATGACAGCACATTGTATGCTTTATAATTTCGGATTTCTCCTTCTAAATGTGCAACGAGTTAATTTTTTTGATGTACAAAAGAAATGCTTTTCTGTTTTAAAAACATTTCACTTTTTGGAATATCTCTAATTTTAGACTTTTGCAAAGTCAGATAACCATAATGTAGATAGCCTCCCCAAGAACACTAGTAAAGTCCAGTAGGGCATATGTTATATCCTTTTGAGTAATCTCCTTTTGTTAAAATTAGGTTTTATTCTGATGTAATTGTAGGTAGAATGCGCGTCACATTTTAAGCCACTGTTTAAAATTTGGTTAAAACTCTGAGATCGGCGCAGCAAAACATCTGTCCTCTTTGGTCCTTTCGTAGGAAACCTCAGCACACGCACCATCCTAGGTATTTTGTCTTTCTAGTGAACTAGATGACAGGCTGAAATTCTTCCAAGTCTGGACTGTGGTTTTCTGGATGTTTTTTGTGTTATGTAGAAATGGCCATAGATGGTTTAGTCAAGTACCAGCTAAGTAAAGAAACAAGCATTTCTTTATCTCTGTTGTGTGTAAGCCGGCCCTAGCTGGGTCCTTCCTAGGGTGAAGAAATGCTGATTTTATTGCCCTTTTCCTTCCTTTGGTTTTCTTCACTGTGCTCTTCTCTGTTCCCTAGTCTAAACTCTCTTCTGTCACCTGTGCCTCTTGAAGGTCTGTTCAGTATAGTGTTGGCCAGTAATTTCCTGGAGCTCTCCTTCCACTTTCTTTCTCCTCTAGGGCTCCCTGTGATGGGTTTACTTCTGCTTATCACTCAAGTCCAGTCGGCCCAACCTTCAGGAGTTTTGTTCTAGTTTCAGTCTGTGTATCTAGCTTGATAATAATAATAATATAATAATTCTAATAATTCTTGACTTACTCTCCTTCATAGGTCACTATAGACATATCTTTCATGCTGTACAGTTTCCTTGTAGAGTTGATTTCTATCTCAAAGGTTAGATTTGTTCCCCTTTTGTTCATTTCACTGCCGGCAAGCTTTTGTGATTGTAGAACATTCTTGCTATAGCCAATTGCTGATTGTCAAGTATTAATTTCTTTCTTATAGAATTAGAAAGAAACAGAATGCTCTATAGTTATCATTTTCAGTGTCTGGTGTCCTCTGAAAGTGTTTTCTATTCAAAATTCTGCCTGTAATTCTCCATCAGTCACTCAGTGAAGTGCAATCGCTTGATCAACGTTAAGCATCTGTGTTTTAAAAGATGGCTTTGTTTAAATCTATAGAAAACTTGAATATAATGAACTTTTAAAAATGCTCCCAGGCTTGCATTTTCTTCATACATTATTTATTATTTAACTTTAAAGAGAAGGTCATGTTTAAGAAATAATAATAAACATCTCATTGCAAATAGTTCCAAGTGTCTTTCCTTCTTCTGAAGGTCATATGGACCTGTAGATGAGGTCAGTGAGTTAGGAGGAGGAAGCAGACCTTTGTATATATCTATATTTTCCTTGTCCATTCATCAGTTGATGGAAAAACACTAGAATGGAATCTTGTTGACAATTTGCCACAGCATGGGCTCTGTAGGGACACACCTAGCTGTAAGAGAGGCTGATGCCAATCTGGACATCCATGTGACCATTAAAAATTTGATGCCTCTGTTATTATAATAAGAAAGTGACTGGTACTTGACACTTAACAGTCTTGGCTGTGGTAGGAATGTTCTGTGTTTGGAAAACTGGCTTGAGGAAATCTTGAATAGACATTTCTAGTGACAGTGAGCTTGGTATTTTTTGGATAACTGTGATATTAGAAAAATATTTTAAAAATAGCCGGAATAACTGCACCCAACAAAATATAATAATCTCATTCTAGGTTTTCCTAAGTCTAACCCTAGGTCAGTATCATCAGAGGAGCCCTGAAATGCAGTAGCTTGTTCTAGGAAGGAGTAGCAAGTAGGAGAGCAGGGTCCCCATCAGTCCAAGCATGGCAGAAACCGTTGGAGCAAATGGACAGAAACCTTGCTTATGTATCTCCTCAGATATCCAGAGGGCTTTATGCTCTTTGGCCAATTTTTTTTAAAGAGAGACTAATTATCTTTCCTATGTGGGCACTGTTGAGTCCTTAATCTAATCAGACAATATTTTATTTGCACCAGGGAGAGAAACTTTCATTGAGCTTAAATTCTGATGTAGAAACTGACAATGAATAAATGTACAAATAAATACAGAAGGGAAATAAATCAAATCCACAAGTGAGCAAAGTATAAGCATGCCTTGATTATTATTACCTTAATGATGAGTGTCAGTGCCCACTCTGTATCCTCCTGATTGATTGATTGATTGATTGCTGTAATGGGGATCGAATCCAGGGCTTTCACACTGGGCTACATCCCCAATCTATTTTCTGTTTTCTATTTTGAGACAAGGTCTCCTAAGCCACTTACCTGTGCAGGTTGGGCACAAACTTGTAATCTCCCTGCCTCAGCCTCCAGAGTGGTGGAATTAACAAGCATGAACCAGCACACCATACTGTGTATCCTCCTTTAAAAGGAGAGGATGGTTTGCCACAAACTTTTGTTACATCTATTGTTAGGCAAATGCAATTTGCCTAAGAAATTATTCTAAAAAACATAACCTGTATTAGATAAACCCCAAATAGAAAGGGCCAGGAGGGGATAGAGGAAAACAGGAACAGGAATATGTGAAGGAAAGCACTGAGACTAATTTTTCAGACTTTGCACTTTGGGATTCAATGTGTATTTTTATCAAAATTTTCATGAGTATAAGTTACAAAACCAAATAAAATGGAAAGGCTCATGATATAAAACAGCTATCCTGAGTCTGTCTTCCTAAAATCTCTGCTCAGGGCAACTACTTTCAAATTCTTTGGATATTTCTTCTGGCTTTAATTTCTGACATTTTGATAACATGCATATATTGCTCATCTTAATTTTTAAAATGTAGGCATTGTGTAGTATCTTCCTACCATAGAAGATGAACACTTAGTTCCTCATACTCCTCAGCGATTCCTCTGTTGGTCACACCAGTGTTCAGGGTTTATTATGTTAAGACACTAAATCCATTTCAGAGCTGTGCCTTTCACTTTGATTATATTTCCTGTTTTGAAAAGATTTGCCTTTGTATAGTCTTCTAGAAATCTCATGGATAGTTCTAGGAAGAAAAACACAAAACTCTTCAAGAGAACTGTAGCTGAGAAATCGATCCATTTCTTGGTTTCCCACACAGGATGTGTCAGTTTCCGAAATGCCGGGATTCCTGGCTCGCAGTTTCCACTCAGCCTGAGCTTTCCTCTCGCAGAGCTCTCTCTGAGGTCTCCCGTTTGCATCTATCCTGGAACCATTCTTCTCCCAGCTTCTGTACTGAATTCTCTATTTCCAGAACCCTAGGTGCTCTTTTTGTGTATGCACGCGTGCGTGCGTATGTATGTGTATTTTGGGAATTCATAATATTTGAAATGGTCTTCATTGTCTGAAAGTGAAATTTTACTGCTATGTGGAATCATTTTCACTCAAAAATTTAAATAATCGTACTGTTTTCTTTTAGTAGTGCTAATCATACTCTTGTTTCTCCTTCCTTCCTTTCTTGCTTCCTTCCTTTTTCCCTTTTGCATTTCTTTCTTTCTGTCATTCTTTCTTTCCTCCTCCCTTCCTTCTTTTCTCTCTTCTTTCTTCCATTTTCCTTTCCTTCTTTTCTTCCTTCCTTCATTCCTTTTTTCTTTTCACCTCTAAACATTTCTACCATAGCTCTATCATTCACCGGCCTCTCTCTCTCTCTCTCTCTCTCTCTCTCTCTCTCTCTCTCTCTGTCTCTCTGTCTGCCTCTGTCTCTCTCTCTCCCCCTCCCCCTCTCCCTCTCTCTCCCCCTTCTTTTCTTCCTTCTAGAAGTTTCCACCATTTCCTATATCCATGGTTTCAGAAGATTTCCTGATACATTTTTTGTTAAACAATTGTTCCAAATACCCAGTGGACCCTTTTGTTTATAGATTAGTGTGCTTATGTTCTGGAAAAATCTACAACACACTTTCCCAACAACATCTAGACCAGTGTTTCATTGATCAAACAACTAGATACCAAGTCTGGAGAAGTCAATACCAAGTCCAC